ATGCGACCAGCGCGTCAAACCAGGGTCAAGCGAGGCGTTGAGGAAAATTTGGAAATACGACCCCCCCCCCCACCCTCCGCCGGAGGCCGAAGTCCATGAAACAACCCTCTTCAAAAGCCGAACTATGAAAAGGTTGAAAAGCTTGTTTAATTCTCCCCCAAAACTGCTCATAAAAAAGCCCTGCTACCCCACCGCCCACAAAAAAATTCGTTTAAGAAGTACAAAAGTGAAAAAGTCAAAGAATAATCATTATTGATGAGTCCTACCAAACGAGCAAACGAGAAACAGACCAGAAAACGACAAACTAGCCACTAAAAATGGCATACTATGACAACATCTGTTCTTTATTTATTTCCTCCACAAGACTTACCAAATTCTAGTACTACACAGATTGTGGTTCTCAATTTGCACGTAGCCCTTCAGTTGAAAGAAGCTTTTTAACCGCCTTCGCCAGCTGTGTGTTGACTGGACTTTGGCGTTGACCGTGGAGCAGCTTATTTACTATTGAAATTTGAACAAATATTCAAATGATTATAACTTTCTTCAAATATGACGAATTTTCAATCTGAAAGCAGATTTGGAAGTTTTGTGAAGAGCTTTTTCTAATCAGTATTGAAATTACAAAAAGTTATAAGAAATAACAAATTTAGGTCAATTAACGAGGAAAATTCGAGATGAGCACGAGTTTTTACACTTTCCGAAGCAACAACTTGCTTCATTTTCGTCAAATTCGAAAAGTTAATATGGCAGACAAAACTAGAAGATTTTCTCTACCAAACCGTTGCTAAAGCAGCTTCATACGTCCAGTATTCAAAAAATGGCCACGTTGAGGATTTTTGCAAAATTAACGAGGAAAATTTGTGATGAGTGCGAGTTTTTTTACTTTCCTAAAGCCATAACTCCGTTCAAACTCATCCAATCCGAAAAGTAATACGCCATCATAAACTAGAAGATTTGCTCTATCAAATGCTTACTAGAACTGCTCCAAACGTCCAGTATTAAAAAAACGGCTACGTTGAGGATTTTGCACGAGTACCGCCGAAAGGTACTTTTTCGCTACATTGGCACTATTTCAACGGCTGTATATCCTTTTAAGGGCGATTATGTACTAAAGTAAGAGCAGATTTGGAATCACTGCTTTTCTCTTTCTAAGAAAAGTGATTGATTAGCGTTTCTCAACTTTAAAGGTTACATGTTTATAAATTAACCCTGAAGAGTCCGTTAACGCAATGTTGAATGGTGTACACCTCCCTGTAAATGCGCACGGACACTTTCAGAATTCTCTCGATTGTTCCTGAATTGAGGTTGTTTGTCCAAGGAGCCGTAGTTGAAGCGCGCGCAACAACTAGACCCTTTCTCGGATGCGCCGTGTACCTCACATCCCTTCAGATTCGGGGTCTTACTTGAAAGATGAAATATCTCTTGGAAAGCGTGCGAAATTCAGATTCTTTAACTTGTGTGGTGATAAAACACTGAAGTAACTAAGAATTACCGGACGCCTCAGAATCACGAAAATTTTGTGTGGGTGAAATATCATTTTCATTGGAAATCCTCTGGCCTGGCATCGACTCATCCTTGATATTTGTCTTCCGACGGTGATGATCCCACTGCATCAAAATGGCTCGATCTCTTCCACCCAGCGGGCCAATACGACCCCCCCCCCTGCGACGTGTCGAGGATTCCTCAACGCACGCTTGACCCTTGATGCGACTCTCATCGCTGTGCCCTCTTCAACACTACGCTCTCTCAGCTATCTAATCACTCGCCACGTATTGAACTACGGCGAGTGATCAGATGATCGGTGGGCGGAGATCGCCGGACCCGCCAGCTTTGAGGCATGATAGGTCGCCGAGGTCAAATTTTTCCATGCGAATTGCGCGTCAGTTCGCACCCTCAGGAGGTCCGTGGGTCCCTCAACTAGGTCAGTTTCCCTTTCTTCGACCTTCATTCTAATCGTGAATTCCTCCTTTAAATGTTAGCTTTTGCGCTTCAATGCCTTTGCAGTTCATGACGATGATTGGAGGCAGGTGACGTCGTACTTACCGTGACCATAGTTCTGACATCTTGGTATAGTCATTTCTAATCTTAAAGATTTCGTACTCACATTTCCAGCTGCCATAAGTGCCGAAGAGATAATGGACTTCAATTGCATTGCACGTATCAGTTTCGAGTACTGAAATATTTTCGTAAGCACCTGTTTATTCACTTTTTCAAAAATATTAACTCTCAGCTGCTCGGTAATTACACATTTCTTTTCAGTACGGTCCGCAGTGTAAGAGTTGTTACCGACCGAATATGCAGCTTCTTAATCACAACTGTCGACTTCGAGTCAGAGTTCCTACTTATTCGAACAGGAAGTCATATCTTCGAAACCATTAGGTCGATGTCAGACTTTGCGAACGAGGGAAGGGAATTCTCGCCTCTGATGCGTGGATCTCCGCCTTTGAGCTATTTTGAAAAAAAAGCGCCATAATTTGGTAACCTCCTTCACCAACAAATGTGATGAGAGGGCGATACGCAATGCAAAGCGGTCGATATGAAAAAAGCCAGGAAATTTGAGGTGCGCTTTGAGGTGCGAGTTAGCCTAGTGGTAATGATAATGAACTAAACATCAAATCTCATGGGTAAAAATAAGCTTTTCCATATAGGACAAAACTATCTTACATTCTGAGCAGCATCGCCTGTAAAACCGTACATTTCCGCCAGCTTGCTGACGATCGTATTCATTTTCCTATGTAATCCAGCAATTCGCGGTACAACGTTCTCGAAATAATCTCGGCGCTGAGCCGCATCTATCTGAATTTTTGACATTCGAATAAGTTCAATGGAAGAGTCCTTATACTAAAAGCAGATTTACGAAAATTTGGGTCTGACAAAGAGGGAGAGGGGCGGGGAAGGGGTATGCACACAGTGCGACAGTCACTGCTGCCTACAGAAATTCCAATTTTTGTAGGGAACGAAATCCCTGGCAGGTCTCAACCATTTCGCTTTCGCTTCTGCCCCCCCCCTCACCCGGAGTTTACTCCTTTTGTAAAAAGTTAGGTCACTTTGGGCGATATGAACTGTTGCACCCTATGCCTCCTCCCAATTGCTGGATGATACCTAAGTTTTGCTTTGAAATGGCGAAAGCAAAAGTTGCCGGCAGTGTTGGAAAACGTATAACACAAGTGAAGTAGAAGTCGCTAATTCTGTCTACCATCAGCTTTTAATGCATTTTTGCTCCACACAATCAGCCCAAGAACGAACTGTGGTGGTAATCTTTCAATTCCTAGCGAGTGGACCCTCTGCGGCCCATGCATGGATCCTCTAATGGGGATAGTAGAAAAAGAACACCTCGCTGGACTATATTTTACTCTATGATCCAATAAATATGATTCTGGACAAACAACTTGTAAAGCGTAAGAGGCTGCCGCCCAGTGTTCAACCGTTAGGCCGATGTCAGACTTTGCGAATCGCGCGATTCGCTAGCGTCCGCGGTCGCGTTGCGGTACCAGCCAATTGAGTGATTCACTGGCCGCGACGCGACCGCAGACGCTAGCGAATCGCGCGATTCGCAAAGTCTGACATCGGCCTTAGTAGAATTTATGTAGCCTGTCGCAATAGCTTATCCAAGAAGAGGCCGAAACGTGAGCCCAATGAAAGCTACTGTAATCTTGGACAGGCTCCAACAAATCCTACACATCGAACGAAATTCCATGCCAAGATTGAGAGGAAGTCGTTCTTGGACTATTCTTTTATAGGCCCTAGTAAAGCATCAAACTAGGAATCCAAACAGAGAATGGAGAAGTGAACTATTTACAAGCTGGGGTATGAACAAGACCGTTGAGGGTGCCGAACTGAGGAGGCGAAGCCTAATTGGCTGACCAACTAAGCCC